TTTATGACAAAGCAAAAATTACAATTTTCGATTGGAAAGGACAGAATTTGCTGTAGAAATTGTAGAATTTATTAGGTAGCTCGTAATAATTTCAATTTTAACATGTTTTTTTAATTTTTTTTTTCAAGTTTTTTAATTATTACAAATTAAATTCTAAAACTGATTATGCTAATCATTTATTTCAGAAGAAATACTCATAAAGATTTGCTAATTTTTGAAACTAAAGTTGTTCGGGAAAACCTATTGAAAGCTCGAAACCTGTGAAAATGTTTCATTCAGGAAAAATATAAAAAGTTTTTCATGTGTCGCTGGGTAAATGTAGTGATGCTTTATGATTAATTTTTATTTACAGGAAAGATCATCCTAGTTTACATCATCTTCTTTCTACGCAGCCCATATAGGGTTTTTTGCTGCACTACTGGCGGTATTTTATCTAAATTTGGATATGAAATGGCAGTTGGATAAATCAGTTATAGGAACAAATTCAGGTAAATTAAATATACCTATGTACTAACCTTTTTTCTTATATTACAGCACGGAGAAAACTAAATTTTTATAGCAAAGCAAAACTTACAATTTTCGATTGTAAATAACTGAATTTTGAAATAGTAGAATTTATTAGGTAACTTGAAATAATCTCAATTTTGACATGTTAATTTCTTTAAAAATTATTTCAAGTTTCTTAATTACTACAATTTAATTTGTAATATCAACTCAAATACCTAGTAAATTTATTTCTGCTGGGGTTTTATTTTTACAAATTCGGGTCCAAATTGTAAATATAGCTTTAATATTTAGGTAAATATTTTTCTCCGTGCCGGAAAAAATCAGTGAATTTCAATGGACAAGGTAACATCAGGCACTTTTGTTATATGTTACAGAATATATTAATAATTTCGTAACAAGTAATTTTAATTTCTGTTGTGAACTGACAGTGATCGTTCTTTTTGAATGAAATATATAGATAAACGTCCCTTTCAAAATACCTTTGGACCTTTCTCATTAATATTCACACAGTTTGGGACGTGCGGTCATTTAAAATAAATAATCAACCCTTCGCTATTTGGGCCGACTGAATATCTACATGTGTAACATATAATAATTTGTCGTAGTCGAAGTTTCTTTGGTGGATTTTCAACTAATGAAAATATACATATACATATATTCCGCCAAATTGATATCTGGGTATGATGGAAAGGGGGATGACATTGAGCGGGAACTGACATTTTATACGAAAATAACAGGCCACCTACAATTTCCAACTTTATGTTATAACCGACAATATTAAGTCAAGTGTTGCTTGGCCGTACAATTTTCATAATTCCATATTTATGAGCTTTAACCCAGATATTCTGTGCGAAAGCTTCTCTTAGCCCGTGAGGAGATGAGGCTTTTCTGACAGCTTCTGTGCCGTCTCCTTTGACCTTTAATAATTTTCAAACCAAAAAATATTCATAATGGCAATGGAAATCGAACTTTCCTCCAAATTTGATATGAACCAGATGATTTCGTTTATCGTAAAACAAGAAAAACGTCAATTACATAAATTTATTAATTAACAATCGATCAAATCAACCGATTGAATTTTAAATTATTTACGTTTTAAAGCTTTTGCGTAAAGGATTTGGTAATTTAGCATTATTATCTTAGTTTGAACACTGCGATATATCTAGGGGTTGCGAATAATAATTTCGTTGGGTGTGTAACCAGATAACAGCAGAAATTTGATTTTTTGTAAATATTTTTCATACAGATTTTTTCGGTGTGAACTTCTCCACATGTTTATTGCAAAAGTTGACAGCAAAAGCGGGAGAATTCAGAACGTCTATATACTAGTGCGAACGCGTTGCATTCATCATCATAAGGTGGTCAGTCCTAAGACTGGTTGGATACGCAATTCCACTATTCCCTATTCTGAGCTAATCTTCGCATTTCCCTAAGACTACAACAACCCACATCCTTAACTATTTGCGAATAGTAATCTAATCTAGGTCTACCTCTACCCCTCCTAACTCCCGTTTTTGCCACTAATATGAGAAGGTGTTCTACCAACCTGTCTCGCCTCTTTCTTATTGACTACCATAGAGCTCTCTGTTCCCCTATTCTATTTAATACCTCTTCATTTCTAAACTTCTCTATCAACGGTATCCTCATCATTTGCCTGTAACATCACATTTCGAACGCTTTTAACCTTTACTTTTCCGCCACATCCACCGTCCATGTTTCGCACCTGTACAGCGCCGGGCTCTAAACATACACCTTTAACAATCTATTTTGAATTTCTAAATTAACCGTTCGCGAGCACAGAAGTGACTTTTTTTTATTGAAACCGATTCGACCTTGCACTATCCTCTGCTTTATATCTACTACTTCTTCCGTCCTGACTTCTCTGACTTCCTAAATACTTAAAGTCAGTCACTTCTTCAAATTTTTCGTCTCCTGTTTTTATATTCGCTCTTACTTCCCTACTTTTTCTTCCCTTGCATACCAGTATTTTTGAATTACTTTTATTTATTTTTATACAGTACTGCTTTGTTCATACCGCTTCCATTTTATTTAAAGCTATCTCTAACTCATCCTTGCTAGGTGCTAATACTACTATATCATCTGCAAATCTAAGCATACTAATCTTTTGCCCCTGTATATCTATCCCTACAGTTGTACTTTCTTTTGATGATGTTGATCGCGTCTTCGATGTATAGATTAAAAAGTAGCGGTGACAGTGTGCATCCCTGTCTGACTCCCTTCCTAATATTTACTTCTCTATGTTGCAGCCCCAGCTCTATAACTGCCTGTTGCTTTTTATACAAATTAACTATCACTCTTCTATCTGTGTAACTTATCTCCAAATTTTTAAGTATATTTAACATCTCCCATTTAATATTGTCAAAAGCTTTGTATGTATACACTCATTCCTTTTTCTATCGTTAACTCTATTATTACCCGTAAAGAAAGAATAGCTTCAACCTTAAATGCAACGAAGAACTGATAATTCACTACACACATACCCACGAGTGTTAATATTCAACTTTGACAACTTATTTTCTTTATTTTGTTTATAAGTGACCTTAAAGCACAAAAATAGTTAGCTTTTCAAATTGTTGAGAAATGCCTTAGTTCACCATGAAAATTTGTTACTAAAAATGGAAAGTGTTAAAAGTTCCTTCTTAATATAAGAGTAATTAAATTGTAACTCTGTTAAAACGTTAAAAGCTTTTTTCTTCGCCGTTGTCAATTTTAAATTAAAAGTATTAGTTATTGATTAGTGTAAAATTTATTCGGCTGAACTTCTTTAAATTATAGCTACATTAAAAGCGAGATGAAAATTAGTAGTTGACAGAAGTAGTTGTACCCGTGCCAGACACGCACGATTCAATATTTCTGATTGAATCTTCACTGCGGATTACATTAATATTCAAAGTGAAACCACGTTCTTGCCAAGATTGGGACCGAGTGGATGAGTGTGCATGCCTTTCAGGATGTTATGAGGTTATGACCTCTCATAATCTCAGCTATCGGTGACATCTGCCCTGGTTATTTATGAATGGAACATCCTGAGGAAATAGAGCAAAAATTCGACCTGTAATTTCCTCTCGGTCTGACTGCATCGACAATATATATTTCCTCTAGTAATTTTTCAATTCAAAAGAGTTAATTTAATCACCATCAATGTTTTACTTTTATTCGTTATCACCTACCCACGCGTAACTCTCGTTTTCATGTAAGATATGTACTGGAGGAATCGACATTTTTCATGGCAAAGACGATTTTGTATGTAGAAAATTCTGATTTCTTATCTCCGGAAAAATTGGTGCACAGTTGATAAAAAGAGTTAGTGTTCCATTTGCAAACATAGTTATTGTTAATTCTAATAACTACTCAATGACATGCTCTTATATAATATCCGTAGTTCATGTTATAACTGAAATAATTTCCGTTATCACTTTTTATCTTTGCATTATTAACCGAAATCTAATATAATTATTTGCAAAAATTAATTCAACGCATTTCTGAAATTATTAATTCAAATTTCAAAAAAGGTGAAGCGCTGAAATTGAAGCGAGTGAAAAGCGTTTTACAGAGCATTACGTTTTTATTTGAAAATGCTCGAGAAAATATAAATGAACATCAAAGTAGAAAATGGGNTGTTTAATTATTCTTAAAACTAAAAGCACTACAGAAAAAATATTTAAATAAATGTTTTTGTATCTTAATAGGACTATCAAATGGCCCTATTACTAATTTTAATAATACAAGAATAACCTATTTATTTACTAAAAAAATTTTTGGGTTCGTCGCTTAACGCAACGTTGAAGTCTCCGGCGTTTTTTGAGATTATCAGCGAAATTAAGGGCGTTATCAAAAAAATTTTTAGACAAAAATTATTCTACATTTTATGGGCTTTAAGGAAATATAAAGACTTTGGCTTTCAATTTAATATTGAATGAGCAGGGCGGTTTTTTCTGGAACGCTACAAGAATCTGTTTTTTGGAGTATACTGCAGATGAGAGCTTTTTGATTTTCTAACGAACAAAGTACTAATTTATTGTTATAAGTATGCGGTATCTTATATAGTGTTTCTAATAGGGCCTTTTATTTGCTGTTTGTTAAATTAAATTTTTTGACATAGACGAACTATAGGTTGCGGAAGGAATTTTTCTAATTTAATCTTTAACAATATCAAAAACAAAAGAAGGAAAGATACCTTTTTTACTTACCTAATTCTAAACTTTTTCGAACAGTTCTTTTGCTTAACTATTCTTATCTACCCTCCCTTTTCCTTTTACATTTCTTTAACATTTCTTTTAATATTGCCAGCTCACTACCATTCTCTTTTATTAATTATCTACATTTTTCCCTTGCATTACTTTTACACCCTCTTCTAGAACACGTCAATGTTTCTTTTCCACATATTCTACATTTTCTTCCCTTCTTCTTTCATCTAGCACTTACTTTCCTTACATGCATTTTAAATTTCAGTATTACCGTTATATCCTTTCTTTCCCTCAAATATTCCGGTAATAAGTCCCCTTGCCACTCCTGGCACGGAAATTCTTTCGCATGTTTCGACTTTGTAGACTCTTTGGGTATTCTCCTTTTGTTATTTTATTTAATATATTTCCTATCCCCATTCTTTCTCTTCACCAAGCATTCCTCTAGTTGCCTTCGGCTTAGCATTATCTCTGTTATCTCTCTTAAGGATTTTCTGTCTCATTATCATATTTTTTTTCTCTGCATCCCTTTTCTTATATCTTTTTTCTGGTCCTCGTATATTTACTTCATGTCTTACTAATCTTCTTCTTGCTTCTACTACCTTCTTATCACATTTTGTTTCACTTCTTACAATATAATTAGGTGTACTTTTTTCCAAGTTTAAAATTCATTTTCCATATTACTTACCCTTATTTTCTACCTTTTTGTACTCTTTCCCATCCGGAGTTCTATCGTCTCTTTATCGTTTTCTGAGTCTTAGTAATTAATTATTGCA